CAGCTATAATTATATTACATTTTGAATGAAGTCCAGGCGATGTGACACTACCTTCTCAAGGTGGTCTCAGACTTCGTGTCAAAATTCAGATTACACTGGAATTGGGATTTCAAGTTAAGCAGTGCTATATACACCAATGGAGAAACTGAGATCTAAATTGCCTATTACTTAATATCCATAAAGAAATGAATAAAAAGTCACCAATGCAAATTGTTGCCAATTAAATTTTAACTTACATAATTAAAGTTTTATGTGGTATCTCTGCGTGCGTGTGGGTGGCTTTAGTAGCAATACCCCTGGAGCTAATTCTGCATATTTCTGCTCATGCTGAGTCCTTTGTTAACCCTGAACTTAATGTAAGATAACACATACCCATCTCAGTGCCCCGGGTTCAGTGTCCTCTCGCTGTATTGTGTCCTTGTGCTCTGAGGGTTGCCAACCACAGCTTAACTCATGATATCACAACGTGGCAAAATGAGAAGGCATGCCCCAAGAATTACCTCAGCCAGAACAGTGATTGCATTGCTGGTCCAATTTGCTTTAGCCATCTCACCAACTGAGTTAACCAGCAGTCCTCAGGTCATTGTTTAGTTTCCTAAACGTGTTACATTCATGAAGTGCACAATCTAATATCTATATAAGTTGATACTTCACTTGCACATTTCATATATCTATGTACATCTCTATTTCTACAGGGATGCTAGGCCCTACTTAAAATTTAAGATTCCACTGAAAATTTGATGGCAATGCTGCTCCAACAAGGTTATCCTTTCCTGAGCATTTCTTTTGATTCCTACAATTTTCCCCAGATCCCAGTTTGTCCAATGACCTCAATCTTTGGCTGGCTTTATGGTTTATTTTACTTGAGATGTTTTTGGGGCTCTTACTGATTCTTACTTCGTAAGAAGTGGGTCACCAGCGCCTTTTGAAGAACAGTAATGCTGGTTTTGGCAGTGACACCCACATCCTGGCATGAATAACTTAATATTAATGTAATCTGAATGTGATCCTTCTTTTATTTAGGTCTGATTTTGATCTCCTGTCTTGTCCTTGAACTGCCCATACGAGTTTGGTAAACCTTTGAGATATTTCCTTGTATTACAGTATCCAGGAGCACTGTAGTCATGCCTCTAAACTGGCAAGCAAAAATGCTGCAGCAATAACTGGGAGACATGAGTTTAAATTCTTGTGGTCACTGGCAAACTTACATTCATTAATTATTTAAATCTGGCACAAAAACTTAGTATTAGTGATGATGTCCATGAAACTACAGAACTGTCAGTAAAAAGCTAATCGGCTTACTAATGTCATTTTGGGAGGGAAATCTGCCATCCTTACATTGATCAGCCCATGAAACTATAGCACAGACTTAATTCCAAGTGACCGTGAAACAACTGATCTCCTAAAGTCCTTTTGAGAAGGAAACCTGCCGTTCTGACCCAGTCTAGCCTATATGTCTCTCCATAGACACATATAGTATCTAAAGCAATGTGGTTGATTCTTAACTGCCTTGAAATCAATCAGCTGTACTATAACTACCACACTGGACTTAGAGTCATAGCAGTCTACTGCATGGAATCAGGCCCTTTGGTCCAATTTGCCCATGCCACCCACTTTTCACAATTTAAACTAGTCCCATTTGCCTGCATTTTGTCCATATCTCTCCATACCCATCCGATTCATGTACCTGTCTAAATGTTTCTTAAATTATGGAATTGCACTCGCTTCCACCACTACCTCTGGCAGCCCATTCCAGACACTCATTACCCTCTGAGTGAAAAATGTGCCCCTCTGGACCCTTTTGTATCTCTCCCCTCTCACCTTAAACCTATGCCCTCTAGTTTTAGACTCCCCTATCATGCAGAAAAGCTGTTGGCTATCTACCTTATCTATGCCTCTCATGATTTACAGACCTCTATAAGGTCACCCATTCAGTCTCCTACGCTCCAGGGAAAAAAAGTCCCAGCCTATCCAACGTCTCCTTATAACTCAAACCTTCCTGACCTGATCTTGATCTCCTGCCTCTGGTTCCCATGTTATTATCTCATTTTATCAATATTTGATTTACAATATGCAGTCCTGTCACAACATGACTATTTGCAACTATTCCAACATTGCTGCTAGTTCTCTGTGCATGTCTGTACAATGATTATTGTCACTGTCTCTGATTGCCCTGTTTGTGACAACAACTTGCACTTATTTAGTCCCTCTACTGTAGGCAAACATCCCAAAGTGCTTCGCAGGTGTGTAATAAGACAAACATTGACACGGTCAAAGAACGAGCTATAAAGACAGGTGAGTAAACAAGTGATGAAAATCGCAGTCATGTTTATGAGGGATCTCAAAGGAGGGAGAGAAAGGAATTTCAGTGCTTGGGGCCAAAGTGGTTGACTGCATATTTGGGATTATTAGGGATGCAAGAATCTGGAGCTGAAGGAATATGGAGTTCTTTGAGATTTATAGGGCTGCAGGAGATTACGGAAATATGGATGCTGAGGTCAGGAGTGAAATGAACATGGGAATGGGAACATTAAAATTGGGACATTGATGGACTATGTAGCCACTGTGGGTCATCTGCACAGGGGATGATGGATGAATAGGACTTGGTGCGAGCTCAAATATAGGCAAGAGACTGCTGGATGAGTTTATGGACGATGGAGGGTATCAAATGTTTATATGAGGATTTCAGCAGTAAGTACAGGTGGAGACAGGTGATATTACAGAAGGTGAGGTAGCTGTCTTTGTGAGGGAGGATGTCTTTTTGTTTCCGAGAATATAGAATACAGTCATTGCTCTTTAAATGATAGCCCGAGGATTCTGCTCCCACGCTGTATCTGATTGTTTCAAGATTACCATAGCTGTTCAGATATCACCATCACTGATATATTTGTGGCACCACTGGGATTACTGTCTGCTCTGTGTGCATGTTATCCGTATTTTTATTGGTACATCTCAGTTACATTAATCCTACGCATTTTATTTGTCAATGCATGAATTACTATAGATAAAAATAAACACCGAGGAACGTGGATTAAAACAGAAGATGCTGGAAACATATAACAGATGGATCGGATTTGAAATAGAAAGATGGGGGGGTGGTGGTTAGTGTGGAAGTGTCATGCTTAGTTGGAGCAGGGGTGGATAAACCAGTTAGGAGCAGATTATACCTGTTATACAGCCTCTAATTATTCATTTCATAAGACTTAATTGGAATGAAAACCGTTTGGGCTCTATAATAAATGCCAGTCTGCTTTGGCTTGTTTTCCACACCCATGGAAGTTGAATATTCAGCCCAGAATTTCAGTCTTATTTCTTGCATGACTGATATGTGATTTTTGTCTTCTCCCCAGATCCCCTGAATTTGTTGATAGTTTAGGCCAAAAAGACATTTGATATTCTCACATCGGTCATCATTGATGTGTGTGCTCTAATAATCAGCAGCCCTAATAACCTCAAGGGGCAACACTTTCAAAGAGACTAACCTTACCCTTGCTGAATGTTCACAGTCCATAGTGAGGGTTGTTGGATGAATCAAGGGAAGTGAACCCTGGTCCGTAGTTTCTTTCCTGAAATAATGGCTGCTGGCCATGAACTGGGATCAAAGCTTAACTCTTCTTCATATGTAAGGCTCAACTATTCACTGGGTAAACTCACTGAGCCATTAGAGAAGGTCTCTAACTGGCATTATTCTAGATTATAATCAGTACCCATATTATCATCATTAGACAACCAGGCATTTCAGAACGCATCGAACTGGAGTGGAAACAAGTATGTTTGCATGTTCTTCAGCCCTGAGGGACTGCCTAAGAAGAAGACTGTCATTTCAAAGGCACATATGTGTATCATAGATCTCTAAATTCTAGTCCTTATCTGAACTTGCTACTCCAGATTCACATGTTACCTCTTGATTGCTATCACTGATCTATATTTCTTAGTTGTGGATTAGAAAAAATATCTTTGCTTTGGATTTTACAATTGTTTATCTCAGTCCCTCAGTGATATATTTCTACTTTATTACAGAACATTGTTTAGTGTTGTATTTCAGGTAAAGGGCAGAGGCTCACAGCACAAAATAGCCCCCAATGTTGACAAGTGTATGTAAGAAGACAAGTTCCCTTAAGGAGCAATGTTTTGAGGCCTGGGTTTAAAGCCAGAAAGGGCAGACCAGGAGAGATAAGAAGTTGTGCTGTTTAAAAACTTTGGGAAAGAGTGCGTTAGCACAGAAGATAGTGTAATGAATCATGACTTCAGCACAGAGAACAGGACACTACATTTGCAGCTTGGGAGCAACAGGAGAAGAAAGCCCTGGGAATGTTGATAAATTCGAAAAAGGCAAGAGGCCTATCATTATGGTTTAGACTTTAGATTTTTGAGTAGTTAAATCCTTGTTTCCAGGCACAGAATATCCCAATCCTCCCATTATTCTACCTGTTTTAGTTGTCACAATTTTGTATATGCCACTGTCATCACAATCTTTGTATCAATCTATTTATTTTGTGAGTAATATTCGCTGCTGGTTTCAATTTCTTTTATGGTCTTGCATGTTGTATTACAATTCTTGATCTGTGTACATTAAATCCCACGATTGCAATGACAGATATATGTCGGGTGCAAGAGTTCTTCTACACGCACGTCCTTTTTTTTCTCTCTTATCTATGTCTTGTGTGTCTTTAGCTCACTTGATAGCTATCCTTTAATTCTCCAGCCACATTCCTGGATTTATGACAATGTAAGTTTTTTTTTAAAAATAACAGATCATTAAAGATAGCAAGCCTTTTCCTCTCTGGCTAACCTCTGCTCCCCCACACTTCTTCATACAATTATCAGTCTCTCTTTCCAGATTTGCAATTGTTTCTGGAATCCCAAGCTACGTGCAGCGTGATGTAGCCTTCTCTGACACTGTTGCAATGGTGAACTGCCACTTCATTCATGCCCCTGTTATCTCTGGGCTGTCTACCTTGCGCGAAATAACCCGGGATTTCTGTTTTCTCTCTGTGTACCTTGTGTGACCACTTTGCCGAATACAGGCAGCGTGTCGACAGTGGAGCAGTTCCAGCGTCGGTTTCTGAACTGATGCTGACACTCTTCAATCGCCAGCTCCGCTCCCCTCCGCACCGAGTCCATCACCTCCACGTTCCGCTTGCAGATCTGGATCTGTCGGTTTATCAAACCCTTCAACTTCTCGCACGTCTCCTCATCCTGAATGCTGGCGATCGACGACAGCTTGGCCAGATACCTGTTGAAACAGCCAGAAGGCAAACGGTGGGGAGGGTGGGGTGAATAGTTAGGAGAATCCGTCATTGTACTGCAACAAGGGGTGTACTGCAGCAGTTTAAAATAAACTGGATATCTCGCCACAAAGTGCAACAAAGCGGATCAGCCACTTTGCAAAGCAGGGTGGGTGTACACCGGGATAGAAAGCAAGAATTCGACCTCAGTGTAAAATTTATTGTAATGCAACCCAGATATCAGAAAGCCATTTGCTGGGCCAGTGCCTTAGAATAAATAGCTCAGCTGTCTGTTTTGTCTGACTTCACTTCATGTTTAATGTTTTGTTCTCAAATGTTTGTAATCATACAAGGACAACAGTCGATGGAGATTCGATTTTTTTTTAAAAAGCACGTGGGACGAAAGTTGTTTGTAAGCCCCAACTTTCCAAATCCACTCATTGCTCCAGTAAAATTGGAGTTAAATAATTTGAACGAGCTGGAGATAAAACTCATGACAATTGCTAAAGGAGGAAGACCGGAGGAGGAAGGCATATTAAACAGCTCAGATTCGACAACCAGTTAGACTGAAAGATCTGGCTTGTTTTTTTACATTATCCTTTAATAATGTTTGTAGTATTTTATTAATTAATTGGTAATATTTTCTGCAAGTATTTGTTAAGAGGAGCGTTTTAACTCGGTATTGAGCAGTTTCACAACACTTCCCTACAGTGTATTTAAAACGGATGCATACAGAACTGTACGTATGTTTGGGGGAGGGGTGTAGGAACAATTATGTTTTTACGTTGGGGGCAGAATAATTTCTGAAAAAAAAACGAGACCATGGATTTTGGGAATCCTGTTGGTCACATATTGTATATTTCGCACAAGTCCAAAAGTATGAAATGTTATTTGTTTGGGAACGGGTTCCTCTCTCGCATTAATGTATATTAATAAATAAACCTCAAAATTTTAGCTGCTCCATTGCTGTGTCTACACTTTAAAACAAATTCTTAAAGTATTCTTCACAAGACACATTCTCAGCCCGAAAATTTGAATCAATTAAACCAAAACAGTTGTAAAATCATCAGATACTTCATGTGCACTTGTAGTTTATGGGGAATTATCTCTCTAAATTCCACTTTAGAGAAAAAAAAATGACCTGTGGTGAATTAGGGACACCCACCACTTGCCTTGCGGTTAATGAGTTCTCTCTCCATATACCAGCATGAAGCCTGCTCGGTCAGTCAACATAGTTCTGGTCATGGTAACAATGCAGATTCCTGTAAGCTAGAACACTCTGTGTTTCACAGATTTCTCAAACTCTAAAAAAGTTATTGGAAATTAACGCATTTCCTTACCCAAGCAACAAAGATACACGCACTTTTTGCAATTAAAGGGTTAAGGGTGTTTGGATTTTCCGTTCTGTATTGTGCATCTTTATTTAACGTTATAACGCTCCCCCCTCTCACACACACACCCCTCGAATAATTTGATCAATTGTAGGCTGCTCTGCCTTCTCTCTTTTAGGCTAGGGTCTTTCCACTAAATACAATCAAGACTGGCGAGATATCTGTTGTTTCGGCGGTTCGCAGCCCTATGACAGTGTACGAGACTTGTTGTATGTACAAAGCTGACCTTCAGCTCCCCCTTCTCCGATTTGCCCAGTGTCGTTTGGAAAACAAATACTTTCTTTAATCAGACATGGGAAATTGAGGAGCCCACCTCTCTCACACTCCTATCTCTGTTTCACTAGTTCTCACGTTTTCTCTCTCATGGTTTTGGGACTGAAGATATACACTTTCCAACAACAGACAATGACGGACTAATTGTCGTAATTCCGTGCGATCGCATGAAATGCTAATTGTACAGAACCAGTATTCCACTTCAGTAGAATTACTTTATATATTTTTTAACAATCTCCACATGCTGACAACTTAAATGCACGGTAATTTTCCACATGCATGCTTTTTTTTGCAAACAATTCAGAATCCTCTCCTTACCTCAGTTATACTGTACATGGTCTGCTTATAAACTTTTTATTGTTGAACAGTCAATAATTGAATACTGACTAGCATTCCAAACTGAACATCACCACAATACAGGGAGAGGCTACAATCCAGATACCGTCTCGCTTTTATTCCTCAATTTTATCAACATATTTTGACTCGTCTCTTTCTTACAAAATAAAACCACGGGAAGAAAGCAGCCCACAGTTTAAATAACACGCCTGTCATCTGCCGGTACCTTCGCTCACAGTATGAATGAAAAATGAGGATTAATTGAAAGCACGTATCTACTGTAGTCTAGAGCAGGTCTGTACAAGTCGACCCTTTTCTTTCTCTCACCCTCGTGGACCACCCCACTAACTAATCAAAAATTGTGAATCGAGATAAATAAATAAGGTTGCTACCCTCCGCCCGGAGAGCGCAGTGATGCGAGTTTAAAAAAAACACGTGATAAGATAGTGAATTTACGTATATACTTATCAGTAAAATTACAGATCATAAGATCAGTTAAAATTACCAAATACATTTAACGATAATAGAAGACGGCACTGTCTTTTTTGGGAAATCTTTCAGAGCTGAATGACAGCATAGGACGAGAGTCAAGGGGTCAGAAAATACTGATCCGAATGCATCTGGAAGTCTTAATTTTTTAAAAAAAATATATAAAACGCAGAAAAAAGTGACCTTTTCTGGAGAGAGAATTAAACTTGAACGCACCCCTCACCTCATGCATTCTGCCCGTGGCACCAGCTCACCCTCAGATGAGAGAATTTGAACGTTTCCTCCTCTTTGCAACAATGTTACAAATGTAATAAGTCATAATTATCAACACTTACAGCCAGTTACTAGCATTTGCCGAAAACAGAGCCAAGATCAGGACGAGAAGCGAACGTAGGAAGGAGACCGGAGTCATCACGAAGGCAACTTCAGCAACCTACAATCCAGCAGAAATATTTCTCCCCTTAATTTCAGACAATGTTTTCTTTTTTTTTTAAGAGAAATTAGCGTTTCAGAACTTCTCCCTCATAAAAATCACATAAAGTGCAATGAGTCTTTCTTTAGCTTTCCAGGCGGTCTGTTACAGGTTAAAACAAATCTTCGACCAAAGAAAGTTCCACTCAATTAGTTTTTTTCTTTTTTAAGAAAAGGTTATAAATCGTGGATGTCGCCAATATATATTTGTGTAAATATATACGGACAGTCTTTAAGTGCTGTTAGAGTGTGGTTATAAGTGTTTTCTGGTGAAATAGTACAAGCCTTTCGCGGTCGAAGGGATGTGATGTGAGTTTAGCGGAGATTCGGCGGAGCCCTAGCCGGGTCCAGGCGAGCTCTGGTTGGGGTTGCACAGGCGGGAGTTAGCGCTGCGAGTCCCGGTGCGGTGTCGGAGTCTTGTATCCGTGGGATGTTGCGCCGAGGCTGGGTGAGCAAGAGAATGCGAGGAGCCGAGGCGAACCCCTGCTCGGATCCCCGATCAGGCACAGATTCCCCCCTCCAACCTCCCTCCGGGAGGGGGGAGGGGGGCGGGCGGGGAAGGTAGCTCAGGGTTGGACCGGCCACTTTGTCAATCAAGCCCAACATGCTGTTTCCATTCGCCGCTGTGTGTGGTGTATAGAGAGGCGCTGATGAGTCACAGATATACTGACAGGAGAACCATCTGACACTGAATACAGTCGAGCTGGACAGTAAAGCTCCAAAAACAACCGGCAGAGGGAGAGAAGCAAACGAGAATGTCAGCCACCAAATGTCTCACCCCAAGTGCCAGCAAGTGCTTCCCATTTTCATTCTGATCAAAACGAAATGCCCTCTTTTTGTTTTAGCACTCCCAATCTCTGTAACAGCATCCCTTGGGGACATCAACCAATTAAGTCACACTTCATGGACAAGATTGGAAAGTTCAACGTTGGGCAGTCTGTTCTGCCAGAGTATCCGAATCCAAGCCTTAACCTGTTCTCACTCATCCTCGCCCTTTCCAGAATGGGGGTGGGGGGGGGGGGGGGGGGGGGGGGGGGGGGTCAGAAGGCGGCGACGGGGTCAGAGCCTCCCAGTTCTTGGGAGCACTCTGTCCATTTGTCACATTTAGTCATAGAGTCGTAGAGATGTACAGCATGGAAACAGACCCTTTGGTCCAACTCGTCCATGCCGACCAGATATCCTGAATAAATCTAGTCCCATTTGTCACCATTTGGCCCACATCCTTCTAAACCTTTCCTTTTCACGTCCCCATGCCTTTTAAATGTTGTAATTGTAGCAGCCTCCACCACTTCCTCTGGCAGCTTATTCCATACACGCACCAACCTCCGTGTGAAAAAAGTTGCCCCTTAGGTCCCTTTTAAATTTTTCCCCTCTCACCTTAAATTTATGCCCTCCTGATTTGGACTCTGTTACCCTGGGGAAAAGACCTTGGCTATATACCCTATCTATGCACCTCATGAATTTATATACCTCTATAAGGTCACCCCTCAGCCTCCTACACTCCAGGGAACATAGCCCCAGCCTATTCAGCCTCTCCCTATAGCTCAAACCCTCCAATCCTGGCAACATCCTTGTACATCTCTTCTGAACCCTCTCAAGTTTCGTAACATCTTTCCTACAGCAGGGAGACCAGAACTAAACGCAGTATTCCGATAGTGGACTAACCATTGCCTGGAACAAGGCAAAAATCGCAACTTTTCAAACTGAAAATGTCACTGTATATCCTTTGCTAGTATCACAGGGAGAAACGAAATGGCCAGGGAAATAGGCTCATGCAACCCATGCCTACACAAAATCATGCTCTTCACAAACAGGTTTGTGATTTAATTACAGATGGTGGAAGAATCTTCTCCCAAGGTTAGTATTGATAGCAACGATGAGAACTGACTGAGAAAGGAATCATAGATCACAGCGACCCATCAGGATCCCTAACAGTAAAGTAAACTTTTGTACAGAGACCAGTCAGAAGCCACACTCTGAAGAAGGTTCACTGAACTGGGAGCGTTAGCTCTTGTTTCTCTCTCCACGGATGCTACTAGACCTGTTGATTTTCTTCCGCACTTTGTGTATGTTTTTGGTGCAGACCGGACAGTTCACTGGAGTCAATTGAAATTGCTCTTATCTCTGATATAAAAGGATCAATTATGACAGAATACAACGGCAGTAGATCCCCCAAAGTTTGAAAAGACAGTTCATGGGGCGAGGGTGCAGCGAGGGAGAGGAAGAGCTATTGCCGTTTGCAAGACAGCTCGCTTTTTACCGTTCATAAGCATCGTGGATGACAAATAAATTACATGGCCATCGCAATCAGTGTGCCTGGTCCATTTGCGCTTAGTTTTTGACATTTAAACTATTAAAGGAACTCCACTAGAGGAGCGTAGTTTCACCTCTGAAATTGTGCTCCAATCCAACCCAGACACGGAGCTGACCAAATCTCTATTCACTGACAAAATGTAAGCACTTCATATGAAAGAAATGTAATGCTTTGGCATGTCTTGAGGATGTGCAGGGTGCTATACTAATTAAGCTCTTTTTAAAGGTGGACAGTACGCATACTTACACATGCATTATCATTAAATTAATGATATAAGAATAGTTGTCATGGTAATGTCGCGCTGATTCAATAGCATATACTCTCTTGAAATTGCATTTAAAGTGCATTAGTTTTCTGCAATGGAGGTAGTTTTACAGCAAATCTAATACACTCTGCACCTGACCTGAACAGGCTCATAAAAGTTAATGATGGCCAAATTGGGAACATATTCCATTCTTTTACTTGAAATAATCTGCTGAAGATCTTTGACAAAATTGTACTGTTCGACCTAGACCTGGAAGCTTTGACTCTGCAATGATTGTTTCACAGTGCAGTCTATTGCTGGAAGGAAGCTCTACCTGCAAAACGTCTGAAAGTGAATGATTGAACTCCATTAAGACACAGTTCCTGTTTGGCCTTGCATGTAGGCATGGCTCAATTTTTTTGTGAAATTTGAAGGTTTCATGTTGAAAACACTTTGTAGGATGCAATATTACTGTCGTGTTAATTGGTAATTTGGCAGTATTGATCTGATGCTAACAGGCTATATTGAACTGGATTCAAGCACTGATTGATACCTGAGAATAAATAGAAGGAATGTGACCTCAAGGAGCAGACTATTCAATAGAATAGTGTTTGGATCTTATTGAAAACTGGCGATATTTAATATGTGAATCAAAAACTAAAAACGGGCCCAGATTCAAATCAAGCCCAAATTGATAAGCCAGTTAAAAGCTGTTGCCTTTGTCTGTTGACCATAAAGCTGCATTATGAAAGAACTTGTATAAGGATTAATTCATACCCCAGTATCTCCATTGATCTAACATCTTAAGGTAGGTCTTAATCAACCTCATACAAAATTGAGCCACTTACTGGGGAAGAATAGCTGAAGAGCTTTGTTGTTGCCTTCCTGCTGTTTCTTTTTTACCTTTAGAGTACATTCTATTTGTCATCAAACAAGGCATTTTACTATTGGGAGTGTGACATTTGCATGTATCAGATACAAGTATCCATGTTGTGTTCAACCAGTTATTCAGAACTGCTGCTTGCAATTTCTGGAGTGTGGTTTAAACCAACCCCATTTTGACTCAGAATAGTACCACTGAGTCGAAGACTCAATCCACATGGTGGTCCACCTTTGGCAATAATTTGGAAAACTCACCGAGGGAAGCAATAGGATGGCTAGTTTGGGAAAAGCAACATTTCACACAGTAGTACTACAACACACTTCTGTTGTTTGAATTGAGAATGGTGGGCATTTTACACTGCAACTAACTGTGGTACAACAGAAAATGCAGTACACATCCGGGGAGCTTCACAAAAGCATGATCAATTTGGCATTAATTGGGTTATGACTGAACATGTAATTTCTAGAGTAAAAGCGTAAAGTGCAGGAAATACTCAGCAGGTCAGGTAGCATCTTTAGAAAGAGAAACTAAGTTAACATTTCAGGTTGATGATCTTTTGGCAGCACTGGAAAAAGATAGGGATGTAACAGCTTTTAATCAAGTACAGAGGAAGGGGAAGTTGGAGGAAGAGGAGGAGAGGAGGACTGTCTGTGAAAAGATAGAAGGTAGTTAATTGATGAACCAGATGATCATGCAAGGCATCAGGAGGTGTTAATGAGACAGTTTAAGAAATAATATGCTCCAACCTATCATGTATTTCATGGCCTTGCAGTGCCAGAAGTTAGAATATATTCCATTTTCAGCAGTAACATTCTTCACCTATGAACAAAATCATAACATCTAACATTATAGTGAGATGAATCATCAGGACCAGAGGAATTCTGAGTATTGAGCACTGCAAATTGTAGGAGCAGTGGGAAGTAACGTGGGAGAATGTATGACATTGAAAAAGGTGTAACGTACAAAAATAATGAAAATACTCAAGATAAAGGAAGGTCACAGGAATGGATTGTATGGGAAATGAAACTCTTAATCTGCTTTCATGTTGGAAAGACAATGGGGTGAGATGTATTGTGGCTGAAATATCTCCTGCTGATACATGTTTAGCTACTTTAACAACAACTTAAGCCTGTTTATTTTCAATAGGTTTAGAACTGCATTAAAATAGAACAGACAGGAATTTCACACAAATACATTAACCATTATGCTAAAAATAAACAGCATGCAGAAAATTAAACTTACTGTCATATTTTTGATATGGTCTAATGACATTGCTGACATTGAGCTACATTTGGGAAGCAATTTGCAATGAGGACATGGTTATTTAAAATTGAATTTTCTTATTATTCTTTGTCATACATAACGTAACTGGTTGCCATGCTGTTAAAAGTATTTTTGATAATTTTGTCTCTGTCTAAGTCACTTCTTTAAATGTTGAAAAGTTATTTCTAGGCATTAGAGATACTCTGTCATACATCAATTGACGTGCTGTGCATTTCCAGAATTTTCTTTTTATGTTTTACAGCATTTGAAGTTCTACTTTTTAAACCTTTGTAAACAGAATTTGCTATTTGTGTTTTTGCCTACCCTTACTGCGTCACTCTTACCCTCAACAAGCTAGCAACGAAAATGAAACAAGCAAAGAAAAGGTGGTAAATATCAATGCCATAATGTTGTCAAGGAATTAAGCACAGGCATTGCCTCATCTGTTATTATAGAATGACTTTGAAAAATATTTCTCTGCTTGCTTGCATGATGTCAATGTGCCATACAGAATGCTAGTTCTTATTCACTGTTCTAATGGAGACATTAATCTAGCAAAAATAAATTCACCTCTTCATTAAAACAGTGGACTGATGACGCAGTGTAGCATGGTTTGCAAGCTAATACACTGATCTCTTTTATTCCTAATGTGGGATGCCTTGGAAATCAATACAGATAGATGTTACAGAGAAGAAACCTGATTTCCAAAAGTCTGTATACTTGTCAAAATGATAATGCTACATATTTCATAGCTACCTTTACCTTGTTTTTACCTCCCA